AAATCACCAACAGTCCTCTCTCTCTCTGAGAAATAAACAAACACCAAAGACTGAAATATTTGGCAATATAATAAATAGCAGAGAAGAGTATCAGCAGGGGTCTGTGATCTGTTAAGAGAAATCCAAACCTACAACTGTTACTCCAGCTGTGGATCTACCATCCGCCTTTTCCTATTAACACTAACACACGGTTAAACCCGAGGATTTCACTGAGTAACACCAAACCAAATGGTTTTTCTCTGTATTCTAGTGGCTCAGGCCCAGTGTTTACTGAGATCATCACCGCCACAATCGCAGTTCCATAATCCCAGACTTTACAGCTGGTCACTAATTGAGCCATTATTATTTCCGGCGACAGCCTGTCTTAAATTGAGCTGTTCAGCAATGAGTCACACTCAGTGAAAAGCACCAGATCCAGATCGGTGTTAAGGCCACGGGAGCCTTTTAATCTTCGTAGAAAATGAGGTTTTGTTGCTAGTGATCAGCTTTATAAATGCTCATATCAAGGCAAAGGGTGGAAAAACTTTCAAAAATATACTGCGATCTCAGACACAGGAGGTGAGTACAGGTAATCTGAAATCTGATGCCGTGAGAGTCGACGGGAGTCTGTGGTTACTCTAATCCTACAAGAACGAGATTATCCCTGAGTGGAGACAGCGGGCTGGGGTGAGCAGGTCACTCCCATCAGCTGTGTACCTAAGATGGGGCCCACTGAAAAGCCACTATACCAACAGTAACTGTACACTGACACACCTCGATGGTCTTGAATATAAACCTGGACCAGATACATTTTCAGCACGACAAGGAAAAGCTGTGGAACAATGGCTACTCTCCTCCTCCTCCTCCTACTCCTTCTCGGCTTCTCTGCGGCGCACCAAGGCCAGGTTAGACAAAACATACCACAGTGAATGTAAAGTCGGCTCTACATAAGTGCACTCTCTGTATTGAGGGATGCAGTTCCCATAGCACCGATTGTATTGTTTCCATAATACTTCATGGTAAGAAAATGTGTTTTTTCTCCACAGACTCATGATGGAGGTAACGTTCAGGGACGATCTTCAGCTCAGGAATTTTCAAATGCATCCACAACACACCTTATAACATGTGCCTAATCTGAATGTATCCAAATTTTCTTTTTTTATTTATTATTAGAACTCTCAGTGGAAAATGAAGATTTCACTGAAACTATTCTGAGAATAAACAATGGTGAGTTATGGCGGGTGAACGAGCAGTAGTTAAGTGAGTGAACATTCAGCAGAACAAACATGGTCTTGAAAATCTGTTACATTTTAAAAGGTTCCAGTGATTTTCTACTGGAGGGAGACGTGTTGATTCCGAGAACCCGCAACGCCATGAAGTGCTTCGGAGAACCGTACACCTGTCTGTGGCCAAAGTCCCGTAATGGAAAGGTGGAAGTCGCTTTTATTTTGAGTGACAAATACGGTGGGTTTAACCTATCACAGCAATAACACAGGATATAATTCATTGTTAGATATTTTATATTTTATATTTTGTTTTTCTGGTTATTTTTCAGACCCCAGTGAGAGGACCCGGATTGTTACAGCCATGAAGGACCTTGAGTCCCAGACCTGCCTTCGTTTTGTTCCCCGAGTGGCTCAGAGGGGATATTTAAGCATCGAGCCAAGATATGGGTGAGTCTGTAATTTAAGCACCCACTGTAGGCATGTCAATAAATTGTTATGTTTTATAGACCTCTACACAGTGGCTGATATGACGGCAGGAGGCCAGTACTACACATGTGATAACTTCATCTGTAAAATTTGTTTCTGCTGAAGATAGTTACTGTTTAGTGTGAGGTGTAGCTGAGTTAACTGGTAGAAACGGAATTAAATTACCCTAAATGAACTGTTTGTCTTTTGCTAAGAACAGGGCTGTGGTAAAGTAATTATCAAATTTGTTACTGAGAAAAATGAAAAACAAAACGTTATCAAATAATAAAGTAATTAGGAATTAGGAACTCTAAATTACACATGTTTTTGTTCCTGATTTCATAATTAACCCATAGTTGGAGAAAGAGAGCAGAGGTCCCTATTATTCCATGTTTGGATATAAATAGCACCTTTTTAGTATTTAGTACTTTTTTGTTTTTACACTTTTAGTCTTCTAATTTTTATGGCTAATTTATGAACACAAAGCTACTTGATTGTTGGGCTTCACTGTGCCAGACAATATTTGATTTGATAAAAAGCCCTTTTTTGCACAGGTTTTGTAGCAATGTCTTATACAGCGACATGATTTTAAATGATACAGGAACCTACCTTTATTTCCCTCTCTTGGTGCTCCATATCTATGTTTAGGCCGGATGAAACCAGCTCATCTAAAATCTCCTTATTTAAGCCCCTATGTACTTGCAGTTCTGCTGACAATACAATATAAGGCCTTATTAATCAAACCCTAAACTTAATGAAGTGTGTTCAGTGTTGCTCCCTCCTGTTTCTTCTGCTCCTCTTTAGCTGTGCTTCTCTGCTGGGTTACACCGGAGACAAACAGGTGGTTTCACTGCAGAGGTTTGGCTGCATCAACCATGGCATCATCCAGCACGAGCTGCTGCACGCTCTGGGTTTCTACCACGAACACACACGCAGCGACCGTGACGAGTACATCCAAATCAACTGGGAGAACATCAACAAATGTAAGAATCGCAGGGAGGAATAAACATGTACACATCGACCCAGACGTTGATCATGTCTTACTTCTCATTTCAAAAGATTTCGTTTTCAACTTCCGTAAGATGGACACCGATAATCTCAACACTAAGTACGACTACACCTCAGTGATGCACTACGGAAGGTAACAACAGAAATGTTGGTTAAAGTCTAAAAGGCTAAATTCTACTGTAACTTCTCCAAACCGTTGTACTTCATCATGATTGTCCAACTCTAATTGGTAGAACCGCCTTTGGAACACTGCGCAGAGAAACAATCACTCCCATCAAGGACCCGTCTGCTCCCATTGGTCAGAGAGAGAGAGTGTCTGCCACTGACATCCTCAGAATCAACAAGCTGTACAGGTGCTGGAGTTACATTGGATAGATTAACTCAAGATGGTGTGAATATCAGACATTAACATGGCAGCAATATGAATAAAAGATGAAATTAAAAATAAAAAACTTTGTGTCTGTGTGTGTGTGTGTTTAAAAAAACACATTTAGTAAAAAAACACATTTAGTAGTCAGCTGAATAATTTAAAAGGCTCCAGTTCAAACTGTAGGCAGTGTTTCATTGGCAGGAAAAAACCAAGACAAGACACACTCCAGGTTCATTGTGAAATAAGTGAGTGCTACAAGGTAAAATATGTCACAGTCGTCCACATCAATTCTGACTGACTCCCTTTGTCTCCTTCGAGCACCAAAGTCAAACAAAATAAAGGGAAGTAATTTGACATTTTCATTCATTTTGGTTTTAAGTTAGACATAAAAAAATATACTTCAGACGAAATGAGTATTTGTAGGATAAAAAATTAGAAAATAAAATCCATTCTCTTGAGTGGATATTAGTCAGCTGTTATGTTTACCATATATTTTCCTCTCGTACCACGTAACAGTGTAAAGGAAATCTGTATTTTTTTTCCACTTCCACATCCCACACTCGTAGATGGCTGTGAATTTTCTCATCCTTTTGAAATCCCACACATTGTTATCCCTCTGATTTTGCTTCATTGATAGGCAGCGATTTAATGTGAGAGCAGAGTAGCTGGGGAGTTTTGGGGTCAGGGATAAGAGAAAGAAAAGTCCTGAGAGTGAAGGAAGAGTTTTCTACGACACAAACCACTCTCCTCTGATCACGTACCCATACATTTACAATAGTGACAGCCGTGTGTACAGTATTCTCTACCTTGTGCAGCTGAAAAGACTGCAAAGGATTATGGTACAAAGTATGTGTGTAGTTTAGAGTGGCAGTTCCTGAATCTTTCCTGCAGACAAAATATCCACACATCCAAATTCATTGCTTTAAAAATTCCTTAAAACAGATATTCTTATCAAAATAAAGAAAATAACATTTGAAATCAATTACTTCAACACACTTTGGAACAAATAGAAAAATAACACAATTTCGATTCATTTCGACCGGCAGACACAACTCAATTCTGTTATTATCGGTTTTATCCAATTAGCAGCTACAATATTTATCATAGAGGACGATGAAAAGATTCTCGTCTTAAACACAGACGAGCATTCATCATGAAAACGAACGTCTGCTCGAATCGATTTGAACTTCCATTTCAGGTAATAAAAAAGAGATTTTACTAAAATGACAGTAACAGCTACTGTGTTCTATTTGTCTGCTTTCAAACGCTCCTCTGCTTGAAAAGAATCAACTGTTAAGTGACCCTATTTGCGGGAGATGAAAGCAGCACTTACAAAAGCATGTAAATGTCGTTTGGACGAAAACATCAAAAGACATCACAGGATGCCATCAAAATCCTGGATGTCTTTGTTGTTGCCCTGTCATGTCCTATACAAACAGTTATCTGTGGAAGGGATCAAGGGCAGGGCCATCGAGCTTTATTGATGCTTTGATGAAGTTTGACTCTACTTGTCATTTTTAAGATCTATTTAAGATATATTTTTTTCATTTTTAAAAGTATACATGACAAACCTGAACCCAAACAGCAGATGTCTGTATGAAAGAAGAATTACACGTGTGTGTTTTTTAAACTCCTGTGTGTAACGTGTGAATCAGGCAGACACATTAGTTCCCAGTCCCTCTGAGCCCTGTGTCTGCGAGCAGCACAGCACTGAGGAATCACAGGTGTCGAAAATGATGCCTTCCCATTAGTGATGGAATTCAAGCTGAGTTGGAGCCAGACAGAAAGACACTGTGGGGACAAGATGATAACAAGCCACTCATTGGAGTTATGAGGGATGATGTTTGTGCATCACTCTCTGTGTGTGTCTGATGAGAACGGGGCAAAGGAGGAGATGGAGGAGACAGAGGAGAAAGTGGAAGTTATGGAGAACAAAGAAGTGGGAAGTGGTTTAGAGAGAAAAGGATAGGAAAAGGAGATAAGGAGAGACAAGTCGACGTGAGAACAATGAGACCTGGGAGCGAGGAGGAGTGACTGGGGCTGTAATCAGTGAAACACGGTGGTGAAACACCAATCAAAAGGGTGACCGGAGCAATCAGGATTACATGGACAGAGAGAGGAGAGGAAACAAGAGGGAGGAGAGA